TGGCTAACACAGTGAAACCCCGTCTCTACAAAAATACAAAAAAAAACTAGCCGGGCGAGGTGGCGGCCCCTGTAGTCCCAGCTACTTGGGAGGCTGAGGCAGGAGAATGGCGTAAACCCGGGAGGCGGCGCTTGCAGTAAGCTGAGATGGCACCACTGCACTCCAGCCTGGGTGACAGAGCGAGACTCCATCTCAAAAAAAAAAAAAAAAAAGAAATGAAGCTTGACAGTGAAGTGAGGGATTTGAAAAAATACAGTTAATAAGCAAGGTGAATTACTACCCTGTTTGTAAATATGGATACATTTTCAAGAGTGAAAAAAAGGAAGTTGATACCATTTATGTTAAATGTAACCAAAACATGTTGCATGTTACCTGGCTAAATGTAAATAAATATACATAAAACAAGTGAACTAGAAGGCTGCACAGGACTTGCCGTGGGAGCTCTGGGAATAGTGAGAGCCCGACCCACCCGGAGCTGGAAGGGGCCAGAGAGCTAGAGTTCTCTGTTCTTATTTAAAAATCTTCATGTCCTCATGTATTTGTGTAATTTAGAAAAGAATGTAAACAACAGATATGGGAAAGATGAACACTGGTGAATTCTGTGCAGTGGGAGCGTGGCGGGTGACTGTTATTTTCTTTATACCTTTAGGTATGTTTCCAACCATCAAACCAAAAACAAAAAAAAGATCCTTAATCTTAACAGGAAATAGCTGTCATTATGAGTGTTATTTCTATTCCCTGTTTTCATAGAAAATGTGGACACAGACTTGCCAGGCAGCCTGGGGCAGAGTGAAGAGAAGCCGGTGCCTGCTGCACCTGTGCCCAGCCCGGTGGCCCCGGCCCCAGTGCCATCCAGAAGAAATCCCCCTGGCGGCAAGTCCAGCCTCGTGTTGGGTTAGCTCTGACTGTCCTGAACGCTGTCGTTTTGTCTGTTTTCTCCATGCTTGTGAACTGCACAACTTGAGCCTGACTGTACATCTCTTGGATTTGTTTCATTAAAAAGAAGCACTTTATGTACTGCTGTCTTTTTTTTTTTTCTTTTTTTTCTTTTGAAGAACAGGTTTCTCTCTGTCCTGACTCCTGGGTCTGTGGGCCGTGGCATGAGTGTTTTCTAGTAGTAGATTGGAGGGAAAGCTTTGTGACACTTAGTACTGTGTTTTTAAGAACAAATAATTTGGTTCCAGATGTGTTAGAGGATCTACTTTGTACTGAGGTTTTTAACACTTTACTTGGGTTTACCAAGCCTCAACTGGTCAGACCATGAACAGTCCCCAGGCACCGTTCCTGCCAGGCCTCAGCACAGGGAGTCTCTCCACAGAGCCTTCTTGGTGTTGCCCTAACTTGCCAGTGGCCTTTGCTCAGAGCCTCCTCCTGTGCCATGTGAACAATGAAGAGGCCTGTGCCTCATGCCTTGCCGCCTGCAAAGCAAAGAAACTGCCTTTTATTTTTTAACCTTAAAAAGTAGCCAGATAGTAACAAGACTGGCTGGCTGATGAGCAGAGCCAGGCTTGGATGTACAATGAAACTGACTGGAACTAAAAGCAGTGAAGCAAGGGAGGCAATCACACCGAAGTGGGCCTTCATTCAGGAACGGGATCCCACAGGGGTGTTTTTTTAAATAACTTGATGCTGTGTGCATGATGCTGGTGCTTGACCGTGAAAGGAAAGTCTCATCCTTAAAATGTGTGTTGTATTTCACAATCCTGGACTGTTGCTTCAAGTAAACAATATCCACATTTTGAAACATTGTGTACTGTGTCTTCTTTTTGAGATAGTTTCAGTGTTCTCTCTAGTTAGATGCTTTTCTCTTTGTCACTATAAATCCTGCCCACTGATTGGATGAGTCATTTGAAGTTAAATAGCCAGATGTGCCTGTAATTAGCTACTTGGGAAGCCAAGGCAAGAGGATGCTTGAGCCCAGGAGTTTGAGGCTATTCTGGGCAACATAGCGAGACCTCCTTAAAAAACAAACAAAAACAAGTTAAAACAGATGAAGACCCAGAGAGAAGTGGGTTTCTTTCTGAAGAAGTCTCTAAAGTAGGTTAGACTCTTCTACCTCCCCATTGTTCTGGGCAGTAACATTTTAAAGTGTTCTCCAAGACTGGGCAACATGGTGAAACCTCGTCTCTACCAAAAATAGCCAGGTGTGATGACACACGACTAGTCAGGAGGCTGAGGCAGGAGGATTGCTTGAGCCTGTGAGATCGAGGCCGCAGTGAGCCACGATCGCACCACTGCACTCCAGCCTGGGTGACAGCAAGACCCTGTCTCAAAAAAAGTGTTCTCCAACTTTAAATATGTGGGGATTTCTCCCCACCAGCAAGCAAGCAAGCAGTTCTGCCGTGGATACCAGCTAGATGTCCTCCAATTTTTTTTTTTTTTTTTTGGATACAGAGTCTTGCTCTGTCCCCTAGGCTAGAGTGCAGTGGTGTGATCTCAGCTCACTGCAAGCTCCGCCTCCCGGGTTCACGCCATTCTCCTGCCTCAGCCTCCCTAGTAGCTGGGACTACAGGCGCCCGCCACCACGCCCAGCTAATTTTTTGTATTTTTATTAGAGACGGTGTCACCGTGTTAGCCAGGATGGTCTCGATCTCCTGACCTGGTGATCCGCCCGCCTTGGCCTCCCAAAGTGCTGGGATTACAGGCGTGAGCCACCGCTCCTGGCCCGGTTCAGCATTTTCTAGACGGGAGTAGGTAAGCCATGTCAGTTCCACATAAAGTCCTGAGGACAGTCCTGATCACCTGTGTTTGATCAAAATCATCTTTCCCGGGGAAACCACGCTGAAGCTCCCGTGTTTCAAGCCAACTCTAGTGTGAATTAGGTCTTAACCAGCTAGACTTACACAAAGCAGTTAACAGATTCATTTCACTTTGTAGTCCTCAAGGGACTGTTCCTGCCCCACTCACAGATGAAATCAATCCACTTGGCTGGGCGCGGTGGCTCAAGCCTGTAATCCCAGCACTTTGGGAGGCCGAGACGGGCGGATCACGAGGTCAGGAGATCAAGACCATCCTGGCTAACACGGTGAAACCCCGTCTCTACTAAAAATACAAAAAACTAGCCGGGCGAGGTGGCGGGCGCCTGTAGTCCCAGCTACTCCGGAGGCTGAGGCAGGAGAATGGCGTAAACCCGGGAGGCGGAGCTTGCAGTGAGCTGAGACCCGGCCACTGCAGTCCAGCTCGGGATACAGAGCAAGACTCCGTCTCAAAAAAAAAAAAAAAAAAAAAAAAGAAATCAATCCACTGAGACTGCCCCACTCACAGACGAAATCAATCCACTGAGAGCACGGCATTGCGGTAAAAAAAGAGTTTGGCCGGGCGTGGTGGCTCACGCCTGTAATCCCAGCACTTTGGGAGGCCAAGGCAGGCGGATCACTTGAGGTCAGGAGTTTGAGATCAGCCTGACCAACATGGCTAAACCCCATCTCTACTAAAAATACAAAGATTAGCCAGGCGTGGTGGCAGGTGCCTGTAATCCCAAGTACTCGGGAGGCTGAAGCAAGAGAATCGGTTGAACCTGGGAAGCGGAGACTGCAGTGAGCCAAAATCGCGCCACTGTTGCACCGCATACGGCCTGGGCGACAGAGCAAGACTTCCTCTCAGAAAAACAAAAACACCGTGGAGGTTTAGGACCCTTGACTCCTCGTTAGATGCTTCCCAGTATTTCAGATCAACCCTTTGTTGGGCCCCTGGAAGGTCGGTCCCCTACTAGTAATGTGGGGTGAACGGGGATACGTCTGCTGTAAAGTGGGGGGCGTCTGATGCGGACAAAGGCTGGGTCCCGAGAAAGCGCAGGGTCAGAAAAGTGCCCCCCAAAGCCGTCCCTGCACCCGAACCCTAGGAAGGCCTCGCGCAGAGCCTTCGGCAGCGGTTTACGACCTGGGCGGGGCGTCCCGGAGGCTCTATGTAAATCAGCCCAGCGGACCCCGTCCAGCGCCCGGGCTCCGGAAGCAGCGCTCCCCTCCCACTCCCCGCGCTTCCGGCCGGGCCCGCGCCCCCCAGACGCCGAGAGCCCGCAGCCCCGGCCCAGCGGCGATGGCGCGGCGCGTGCGCGTGCTGGTGGACATGGACGGCGTCCTGGCCGACTTCGAGGCCGGCCTTCTGCGGGGCTTCCGCCGCCGCTTCCCTGAGGAGCCACACGTGCCGCTGGAGCAGCGCCGCGGCTTCCTGGCCCGCGAGCAGTACCGCGCCCTGCGGCCCGACCTGGCGGTAGGGGGCGCGGGGTCCCCACACGGGCAGGGCCGGCTCGCTCCGTTCCCGGGGTCACCCCCTTCTGTGTGAAGGGCGCAGAGCCCTTACCCTGGCACCCGCGGGCAGCGCACCCTGGGGAGGAGCCTTTGGGCGCGTGCCCCTGACCAAAGACCCCTCCGCAGCTCGGAGCCCGGGCCCAGAGCCCCCAGGAACCTCCCTGCGAGTCCTCGTGGGAACTGGATCTGCCGGAGGCAGAAGCCGCGACCCAGAACTCTTGTCTTTCAGGATAAAGTGGCCAGTGTGTACGAAGCCCCGGGCTTTTTCCTGGACCTGGAGCCCATCCCGGGGGCCTTGGACGCTGTGCGGGAGATGAACGACCTACCGGAGTAAGGAGAGAGGGGGCGGGCGGAGTCCTGGGCGGGCTCCCGGCTCTCGGTGGTAACCGCGACCTTCTCCGCAGCACGGAGGTCTTCATCTGCACCAGCCCCCTGCTGAAGTACGACCACTGTGTGGGTGAGAAGGTGTGGCTGCCCCGCCCCTACTCCGCACGTGGAGCTGCCTAAATCCTGATTTTAAAAAGAAACCACCAGAAACCCAGAAGGTCGGGGGTGGGGGGCTCTCAAAGGCTTAGACCCCACTCCCTGTCCCTGAATTCCGGCTCCCATCAGGCCCTGCTCACAGACCTGTGTCTTCTACACAGTACCGCTGGGTGGAGCAGCACCTGGGGCCCCAGTTCGTAGAACGAATTATCCTGACAAGGGACAAGACGGTGGTCTTGGGGGACCTACTCATTGATGACAAGGACACAATTCGAGGTTGGATCCGTTATCCTTGGCAGCCTCCAGGCCTCTAGCCTGCCCTGATTAGGGAGAGGAAGTAATCATGCCCATTACAGATGTCAGCGCTGCCTTTCTTGTCCCAGGCGACGAGGCGACCCCGCGCTGGGAGCACATCTTGTTCACCTGCTGTCACAATCGGCACCTGGTCCTGCCCCCGACAAAGAGACGGTTGCTCTCCTGGAGTGACAACTGGAGGGAGATCTTAGACAGCAAGCGAGGAGCCGCGCAGCGGGAATGAGCGGGGATGCCGCCGGCAGCAGCTGGAGCTGAAGGGCGGGCAGGGGCCACCACAGAGCCGAGTCAGGGCGGCATCGTGCTGGTGCCTCTGGCCCTGTGGAGTGGAACAGGCAGATACCGTTAAGCGCTGTGCTGCCGGGCCCCAGGCCCAGCCACCCGGTACCTCCCGAGAGGCTGCCGCTGGCCCCTGGCTTGCGTGGAAATAGTGGGAAAACCAGTTGGAACCCTTTAATAAAAGACCTTGGCTTTCTGGTCTTCTAGGACCCTTTATTCGGGAACATAAAGGGACAGGCTCCCTGGGTGGGTGCTGATGAGCCCTTCCCTCCCCTCTGAGCCCAGTGGTCCCTGAATCTGCACCATTTCCATGCCCATGTGGATATCATTCTTGTAGCACCTGCCATTCCTGGGCCATGTAAGGGGTCAGCCTTGAGGAGGTACACAAGAGGCAAGGACCCCCCATTTTCCCTGAGCAACTTTCCATCAGGTCCCACGCACCTTCTGTTGACCAGGTGGCACCGTGGACATGAAGCCACATCCTTTATGTTGCTGTCTCTTCCTGTCTCCCTTGAGCACCATTTTCACTGTGTCCCTCATGAGATACACTTCTGGGGTAGGGCTCCCCATCACTGAGTGTGACAGCAAAGGAGGAGGGCCAAAGCTTTCAGCTGGGGGGGTGGAGTGGTGAGGGGGGACAGGAGGAGCAAAAGCTTTCAGCTGAAGGGTGGAGTGGTGAGGGGGGAGGAGGCAAAGCTTTCAGCTGGGGCAGTGGAGTGGTGAGCGGGGAGGAGGAGGGCCAAAGCCTTCAGCTGGGGGGGAGGAGTGGTGAGGGGGGAGGAGGAGGGCCAAAGCCTTCAGCTGTGGGGAGGAGGGCCAAAGCTTTCAGCTGGGGGGGTGGAGTGGTGAGGGGGGAGGAGGAGGGCCAAAGCTTTCAGCTGGGGCAGTGGAGTGGTGAGCGGGGAGGAGGAGGGCCAAAGCCTTCAGCTGGGGGGGAGGAGTGGTGAGGGGGGAGGAGGAGGGCCAAAGCCTTCAGCTGGGGCCGTGGGGTGGCAAGGGGAGAAGATGCAGTTCCCAGGGCTGGCACCTCTACTCTGACATACCATCACCTGCATGGCCTTGTGCTTGATGCCCAATGGCCACATTAAGTCACTGGGCTGTCACTCAAGGGCAGGGACCATATCTTCATCTTGGAATCATGGTGCCTAGCAGATAGCAGGGCTGGGTGGACAGTCAATGCTGGGCCACAGGTTATCCAGGTTGGCATCCACCAGGCCCAAATGCCCAGCTTGGGGAGCCCCTGGGGGAGGTATCCACAGCCCCGAAGGGGGCACCACATCTTCCCAGGGTGAGATCCTTTTACCATGAGGCATCTCATTCCTATCCCTGAAAACTACTCCAGACACTTCTGTTAAGGGATAATCCCTGATTTCCCGCAGCAAAGGCAGCTCTCCTAAGCCTCAGTCCCAGCTCTTGAGAACACTGTACTGCGAAGCCTCTGGGTCCAGGCACTTGGCCACTTCTTACACCAGGGCCTGAGCCTGGCAGTGGTGGCACCAGACGTAGAGTAGAGAGTGCCGGCCTGTGAAAGCAGCTCCACTTTGATCTCCGCGTGCCTCGGAGTCTGGCTTCCTCACTCCCGACGGCGTTTCATCACAGTGTAAATGCCTGTCCTGCTGAAAGAACCCGCCTTTCAAATGGCTGAAAAGGCACCAGTGGGGCAGCATATGCTCCCCCTGTTCCTTGTGTCCACATCAGGACCGTGGTCTCCGGCAGTAGGGGTGCTACAGTCTCGTGGTCCCCGTGGATCAGCGCTGCCGTGGGGCCATGCTCCTCGGCAGTGGGATACCCAGGGCAGAGTGCGCCTGCCGGCTGCGGGCCTCGGCCACCTGGCGTGGGGAGCAGAAGTCCTCCAGGAAGATCTGTGCCAGGTTCCGGAGCCTGGCACTGGCCGAGAGGGAGAAGCGAAGCATGCACTGCACCACGGGCGCGGCGGTCAGCTCCGGGGGAAAGCTGCGGCCCGGGGGGCTCAGGTGCATGAGCGTGGTAATGGCAGACAGCACCGTCTCCTCGTTGGGGCTGGACAGGCAGTTGATGATGAGTGGGACGCCTCCTGCCTGCAGGATGTGCTCCTTGTTGGCCCGGTCTGGGCACAGGTTGCACAGGCCTCCTGTGGGAGACCAAGGAAGAATCTGGATGCTGTAGCCCCGGGCCTCCTGCCAGCTCCCCAGCTCATGAACCCCAGGGAGGCCCAGGCCGCTGAGAAGCTGGTCCCAGCACAAGCGATCCAAAGCCCATTCCGGCTCCTGCCTCCTCGGTTCTAGAAAGGCCTGCCTGCTCCTGCCTGCCACAGCCCAGCCTTCCAGAGGTGCGCACAAATCCCTTTCTCGGTTCAGCCAGTTCAATGGCTGATACGCTTTCTTTTTTCCCTTTCTTAAATGTAAAAACCTAAAACAAGGCCGGCCCAGGCACAGTGGCTCACGCCTGTAATCCCAGCACTTTGGGAGGCTGAGGTGGGTGGATCACCTGAGGTCAGGAGTTCGAGACCAGCCTGGCCAACATGGTGAAACTCTGTCTCCACTAAAAATACAAAAATCAGTCGGGCGTGGCAGGTGCCTGTAATCCCAGCTACTTGTGAGGCTAAGGCAGGAGAATCGCTTGAATCTGGGAGACGGAGGGTGCAGTAAGCTGAGATTGCACCATTGCACTCCGGACTGGGCAACAGAGTGAGACCCTATCTCAAAAAAATAAACTAAAAACCTATAATGTATCATCACCTTAGAACAATTTATAAAAATTATAAACATATAAGATGATGGTTTCATGGGTATATACTTACACCAAAATTTATCAAATTGTACTCTTTAAATATGTACAGTTTATTATGTCCATAATATAGCAATAAAACTGGTAAAAATACTAGAATGGGCTGGGCACAGTGGCTCACACCTGTAATTCCAGTGCTTTAGGAGGCCAAGACAGGAGGATCCCTTGAGCCCAGGAATTCAAGACCAGCCTGGGCGACATGGCAAAACTCTGGCTCTACCAAAACACACAAAATTAGCCAGGCGTGGCGGTACATGCCTGTAGCCCCAGCTACTTGAGTGGCTGAGGTGGGAGGCCTGTCTGAACCCAGGAGGTAGAGCTACAGTAAGCCATGATCGCACCACTGTACTCCAACCTGGGCGACAGAGTGAGACTTTGTCTCAAAAACAAATGGCTCAAAAACAAACAAATTATAGGCTCACGCCTATAATCCCAGCACTTTTGGGAGGCCGAGGTGGATGGATCACCCTGAGGTCAGGAGTTCCAGACCAGCCTGGCCAACATGGTAAAACTCCATCTCTACTAAAAATGCAAAAATTAGCTGGGCCTGGTGGCGTATGTTTATAATCCCAGCTACTTGGGAAGCTGAGGCAGAATAGCTTAACCCAGTAGGTGGAGGTTGCTGAGATGGCACCACTGCATTCCAGCCTGGGCGACAGAGCAATAGTACATCTCAAATGTCAGGCGGCTGACTGAACATTGGTTTTTCATCCCACAATCTGAAATATGTGAATACATGTAAGTATTTAGTAAAAATGGGATACTCTGCTTGCTGCTTGGTCAGTTTTCTGAGATGGGGTCGGGTCTCCCTATGTTGTCCAGTCTGGTCTTGAACTTCTGGCTTCAAGTCATACTTCTGCCTCAGCCTCCCTGGGAGTTAAGACTACAGGCATGCACCACTGTGCATGGTTTACGCCAGCTTTTATTTTATTTATTTAATTTTTTTGAGACAGAGTTTTGCTCTGTCACGCAGGCTGGAGTGCAGTGGCGTGATCTTGGCTCACTGCAATCTCCACCTCCTGGATTCAAGTGATTCTCCTGCCTCAGCCTCCCAAGTAGCTGGGATAACAGGCATGTGCCACCACGCCCAGCTAAATTTTTGTAGTTTTTGTAGAGATGGGGTTTCACCATGTTGGCCAGGCTGGTTTCGAACTCCTGACCTCGGGTGATTCACCTGCCTCGGTCTCCCAAAGTGCTGGGACTATAGGCATGAGCCACTGTGCCCGCCCCAGCTTTTTACATTTAACAATATATTGTGATTAGCGGGGCATGGTGGAGCCCACCTATAGTCCTAGCTACTAGGGAGGGTGAGGCAGGAGAATCGCTTGAACCCAGGAGGCTGAGGTTGCAATGAGCCGAGATTGTGCCATTGCACTTCAGCCTGAGCAAACGAGTGAAACTCCATCTCAAAAACAAAACAAAGCCAAAAAAACCCCAAAACAATGTATTGTGAACATCTTTCCATGCCAATAAATGCACATTCATGGCTATGCAGTCATTGTAGATTAATGGTAAGGAGTGTACCATTTGACTTATGTACTGTAATTAAGAGATTAGAGCATTTTAATGTTATTTCCATGTCACCGTTACTAGGATTCTGGAGGAAAACAGAAAAGGCAACAGTGAGACATCAGTGGTTGGTTCTGCATCAAAGAACTCATGTGCTCAGGTAATGTGGCCGGAATCCCACCCCCATTCCCTCAGGTCAGGCCCCCTCAGTGTAATGACCTCTTGGCCTTGGGGACAGATGCTACCTTGTTTTGGGGGTCACTCTGCTCAGCACTGGCTGCTCACTGCGGGAAGATGACTTTCCGTGCATCCTAACGCAGCTTTCTGTCATCACGGTACCCCTCCCTTTGGTTCCTGCTCACTGGAGGAAGCCACCTCTCAGCTCATTTGCAAAACATGCCCAGTGTCCTGAGGGACCAATCAGGAGTGAAGGCCACAGCTCTACCCACTTGCCCTGTTTTTCTGGAAACTAACAGAGATGATTTACCTGAACCTGAAACCCAACTAAGACACCTTCCCCAGCCGGAGGGAGAGGTGCCCATGGTGCCCCTGCCAAGGACCCTCCTCCACTGACGGGGGCAGGAGCCTGCCAAGGTTTCACTCTGCCCCCTGCTCCCGAGCAGCACCTGGGTCAGACTGGTCCTGCTTTGGGGAAACTTTTTTGTTTTTTGAGACGGAGTCTCGCTCAGTCGCCCACGCTGGAGTGCAGTGGCGCGATCTTGGCTCACTGCAACCTCCACCCCCCAGGTTCAAGTGATTCTCCTGCCTCAGCCTCCCGAGTAGCTGGGATTACAGGCACATGCCACCACGCCTGACTCATTTTTTTGTATTTTTAGTAGAGACGGGGTTTTGCCATGTTAGCCAGCTGATCTTAAACTCTTGACCTCAGGTGATCCACCCATCTTGGCCTCCCAAAGTGCTGGGATTACGGGCGTGAGCCACCGCGCCCAGCTGGAGGAACATTATTACAGGATCCCACTGCATGTGGAGTAAATTCCAGACCCCCGTGTGCTCCTTACCCCTGAGCTGTCCTGTCTGTTCTTCCCTCTCCCTGGCACTCACTGCAGTCGCCAACCTCAGTCCATCCCTGAGACCTTTCAGCCCCCAGCTGTCACACGCTGACACCCTCTTGCTGCTAACAAGCCCTCCACGGCTCTCCTTGTGAGTTGCGTCTTCCTGGGATACCAGACTAGGCGCTCTGCCATGTCGGGGTGGCCCTTTGTCACCCAGTTCTTTAAGCACTGACCCGGGGGGGAAAGGGTTGAAAGAACCATGGATGGTCAGGGGGCTGGACAGGATGGCTCCCTGACATCCCGCCCACCCTGGACTTCTGTAGTTCTTAGATCTGGGCTGCAGCTCATAGGCAGGACATGTCTGAGAGACAGAGGGGGCTCTTTGGCCTCTCTGGAGTCCTGAGAAAGAGAAGCAGCAGCAGAGGGCAACTAGGCACTGGCTGAGAGCCTCTCCCCATGGGGCCCTTGGAGCCTCCCTTGCCAGTCCCACCTCAGCACTTCCTAAAGCACAGGGTGGCCCCTAGCATGGCTGCCTTCTGTCCTTCCACCACGAGCTGTAAGGCAGGGCTCAAGCTCCTGGAACTGTGGACACTTCACTGAGCATGCACTGGACACATGACTGAACCCTAGAAACAAGTGCTATCATCACCCCCATTTCTGTGGGAGAAGTCAAGGCTATGAGAGGCTGAGTGAGCTGCCCACAACGCTAAAGAAGGGGAGCCTTCTGCCCCTCCCAAGGGAAATGGCGGCCCTCTGGAAGCAGTAAGGACAGCTCATCCAGCCTTGGGCAGATGCCAGGTTCAGCCTGGAGCAGGGGCAGTGGCAGTGCTATGGTTGGACTCAGCTGCTCAGACACACCCGCGGCATGTCTCCTGAGCTGACAGGGGAGCAGCCTCCTGTGCACACTGGACTGCGGGTGGGGTGATGGGATTTCTCTCTGTGTAAAGTGTGATAAGATGAAGCCCAAGTCACGGCCTGCCAGCTGAGTCATCACCACACCCAGGTGCACCTGGGCAGGACACGGCCACCCAGACTGCAGAAAACCAGAGGGTGGGGGCAGGAGGCGGCCTCAGGAAAGCCACTCTCTCCCACCCTCCCCACGCAGAGGCCCGGGAGTCTCCAAGGATGGGCCGGGTGCCTGCCGGAGCTCACCAGCTGCTTGGGCACCCTCCGCAGTAGCAGGGACCTTCCTGAAGTCCCTCTGCTGGCCGGGCACGGTGGCTCAAGCCTGTAATCCCAGCACTTTGGGAGGCCGAGACGGGCGGATCACGAGGTCAGGAGATCGAGACCATCCTGGCTAACACAGTGAAACCCCGTCTCTACTGGGAAAAAAAAAAAAAAAAAAAAAAAAACTAGCTGGGCGAGGTGGCGGGCGCCTGTGGTCCCAGCTACTCGGGAGGCTGAGGCAGGAGAATGGCGTGAACCCGGGAGGCGGAGCTTGCAGTGAGCTGAGATCCGGCCACTGCACTCCAGCCCGGGCGACAGAGCAAGACTCTGTCTCAAAAAAAAAAAAAAAAAAAAAAAAAAAAAAGAAGTCCCTCTGCTTGGTAGGCAGTGTCCCTTAGAGATGAAGAAGGGGGTGAGGGCCAGAAAAGAAAAGGGCAGAGAGCTTCAGGGCAGGAAGGCTGACCTGGAGCAGAAAGATGAGCCAAGATGGCGCCAGAGGACCCACAAGAGGCCACAGCCACAGCTGCTTTGAGCTTCTCCCTGGGTCTACCTGTGTGAACCTGCCCTGAAGAACTGAGGAAGGCCATGGAAAAAGAGCAACGTGGAAACTGGGAGCTTCTTAGAATGCTCAGTAATAGTCAGACGGCTAAATTAT